CCTCCTCAAGCTTTTTCTTGGTAATTAGGTAGTCGTAGTCGAGGAGAGTCACAGGAATAAGGTCGCCCTCCTGCGCAAGCCAAGTGATCTTCTTCTTCGTCTTCTTGAAGTCGCCGTCGAGATGCAGATCCATGCTGATTGCAGTGACCTTGCCGGACTCATCAACAGTCTTTGAGCGAACAAAGGCATTACCCCAGTCCATGAGAGTGACCTGAAACGAGTGAATGAGTGGCAGAATGATGAATAGCGCCATGTAGGCACCTCTTCCTGGTCGTCAAATGATTTGGCATCTTCTTGGTCCACCCAGATATTCGATGAGTAGACTGTCTTTTTCTCGCCGACATCAGGATTCTTCTTGTGCTTTGGTAGGGTCTTCGTCTCTGCTCCTGAAGGTCCTCCACTGATGGTCACGGGAACCCTTGGATTTTGTTAGTATAGGAATGTTCGAAATCGGAGGTCCCAAGCGTACTTGTCGGCATTCGTTATGGCCCAGTGGCGAGGTGCAATTGGATCGATGACCTTCTTGTTCAATGCCCAAATCGAGTCCCATTCGAGGGACACAATGGCTTGCGAAGGCCCTTGCAATAACATAAATTGGCGAAGTGCATCGACAGTCATTCCGCGGCGACGAATGCCGCGCACAGTCGGGAAGCGAGGGTCGTCCCAGCCGCGAACTGCGCCAGAGTTGACAAATTGGTGAAGCTTGCGCTTGGACAAGAGGGTATAGATGAAGTTCAAGCGGCTGAAGTCCCAGATGCGAACTTTGCGCAACCCAACGGCGTCAGTCATCCACCAGTACTGTGGGTTGCGATCGCGGTACTCGTTCGTGCGGAGGGCATGGGTGACTCCTTCGATAGAGTCGACGATGGGACAAGCGAAGTCGTACGTAGGGTAAACCTTCCATTTGTCACTACACAAGTGTCAAAACCGCGTCGGACACAGTGTGAAAGAGCATACCCAGTGCGATGGTGAGGAAGAAGGTTGCAGCGATAGATAACAGGGTCACGGAGGGCTTTGTTTGGATCGTCCACAGACAGCTTGGCGCGCAAACACCAGCGCACGCCTTCCTCACTACCTTTGAACATCTCGTCGAAGTGCTTAAGATTGTCCTCGACAGAATCCTCGCGGTGTCGAGAAGCAATTCCGTCCCATCGTTCCTTGCGCATCTGCTCTTGGAGAGTGTCGTCGGCATATGCTTTGCCATCCTTGATGGCTTTAATAGCATATTGATGCAACTGTTCGAAGTAGTCCGAAGTGTGCGTGATGACATCTGCCTTGACGTCGAGTAGGTGAAGATCCTCTAGAATGGTATCCTCGAATTCGGTCTAGGAGGCACGGTGAGGTCAAGCCTCCGCTTATAAGACACAAGACGTACAGTCTCCTTCGAAGGGTTGGTATCGTCGAAACGAATGATGAGTTTTCCCTCGTACATCTTTGCGAAATACTGGTTGAGCATAGCGGCCTTAGCATGACCGATGTGCAAATAGCCGCTGGGCTCTGGTGGGAAGCGCGTTACGACCTTGCCCATCTCGGCGCCCTCAAGCCCGAGAGAAAACCCTGCAGCCACTTTGGTCGAACGGGCCTTGCTTGCTTTTGCGGATGCAAGCGCCGCAGCGACGGCTTGCGCGAATTCGAGAGACTCGATGTGAGAATACCAGCGGCTGAGATGAAGATTGCGGTTGTTCTTGAGAAGGCCAAGGATCTTGACGTTCCCTATGGGACTTAGTCAATTAGGAAAACCGTCAAGAAAGGTAGCGCACCTTTCACGGCACCCCACACTGCGATGTCGGCTGCGGTGAGTTGATGGCTAACGAGGTATGTGCGCCATGCCAGCCGGTCGTCGAGTGAGTCAAGTGCGGCGGTGATTTGTGGGACAGCGACAGTTTCGGAGAGCTCTTTTGCTACTGAGAATAAGGAAGCGGTCTCCAAGCTGTCGCCTTCGGGCACAAGCGCTTTGACAATTTCGAGACCATCGGTGATGGTGGATCCGTTGAGCTCAAGGACAGGACTCGACACGTTTTCGTCAAAAACAAGTTCGGCCTTCTCTGAGAGCGTCGCCGCGGCCGCGATAGCGTATGGAAAGGGTGATGTTTTCGCAGAAAGTTTGAGAGCCATGATGGCGGGAGAGTAAATCGGGGCCAATAGTTGATTGCAGAGATTGTAAGGCAACGTAAAGAATGTGACTCAATTCTAATTTGACTCCAATATGCGTAGCGCCACTGTTTCTTCCACATACCACCACCACCACCACCACCATTAACACCCCCACCTCTGTGCACCATGCCGATGCTGTGCGTTTTGCTTTTGCTCTACAACACAAGACTGACATTCCTATAGGTCAGAGCCGTCGCAAAAGTACCAACGCTACACCCCTTTGAATTTGCCTAATCGCCAATGGCCGTCCAAAACATTTACTGCTGCACCACGATGGCTGTCGACAGACCTACGCGATGGCAATCAAGCATTGGCGAATCCTATGACCATCGAGCAAAAGACTACTTTCTTCCGTCTCTTGGTACAATGTGGGGTCAAGGAAATAGAAGTCGCGTATCCCGCTGCCAGTGACACAGACTTTGGCTTCGTTCGCTCCCTCATCGAGAATAATGAGATCCCGGACGATGTCTGGATCCAGGTGCGAGACGGTTGACTGCTTCCCGTATAACCTGCTCACATTCACTTTGTAGGTCTTGACGCCTGCACGCGAAGATCTCATTAAACGTACAATCGACTCCGTCGCTGGGGCCAAGCATGCTATTCTGCACATGTACAATGCGACATCCCCCACTTTCCGCAACGTTGTATTCCGCAACTCACAAGAAAAGACGATCGAACTCGCCGTCTCACACACGCAGATCGTCCGCCGTCTGACCGAGGAATGCACCGCACGAACTGGTACCCAATTCCGCTACGAGTACAGTCCAGAGACATTCACGCAGACCGAACCTGACTTTGCCATCGCGGTTTGCGAAGCTGTCAAGAAGGCCTGGGGCAAGGCTGGACCCGCATTCGACGAGAGGATTATCTTCAACCTTCCATCCACCGTGGAGATTGGTCCTCCCAACCACTACGCAGATCAGGTAGGCTTCATATGGACCAGATACATTTGGGCTCATACCTGTGGTCCAGATTGAGAATTTTTGCAACCAAATCAGCGAACGTGACCATATTTTTGTTTCGTTGCACCCTCATAATGACCGAGGTATGCTCCCAAAAATTTACAGCGGCTGGATCTGACTCGTCCTGTGTATAGGAACGGGTATTGCTTCGGCCGAACTGGGAATTCTAGGTGGCGGCGACCGTGTAGAAGGTTGCTTCTTCGGAAATGGAGAGCGCACGGGCAATGTCGACCTCGTAAACCTCGCCCTCAATCTATACTCGCAGGGCATTCCTCCGAACCTCGACTTCAGTGACCTTCAAACGGTCATCGACACTGTGACGAAATGCAACGACCTGCCTGTTCATCCGCGTCACCCTTATGCTGGTGAACTCGTGTTCACCGCTTTCTCTGGCTCCCACCAGGATGCCATCAAGAAGGGCTTCGAGGCTCAAAGAATTCGGCACGCAGATGCAGCCTCCAAGGGTCAGCCCCAGTACTGGGACATTCCATACCTTCCTGTCGACCCGGCCGACCTTGGACTCAACTACGAGGCCGTCATTCGTGTTAACTCACAGTCCGGAAAGGGCGGCATCGCATATCTCATTAAGCAGCACCTTGGCCTGGACTTGCCGCGCAAGATGCAGGTTGCATTCTACCAGGTTATTCAACAGATTTCTGACCGCGAAGCCCGCGAGATGATGGTGGACGATATCACGACCGCTTTCCGCACGCATTACCACTTCGGCGGACCAGCCTACAAGGGCCGTCTGTCCCTGCGTAACTTCCGTATCTCTACGGAGCCCAGCGCCGACCCTAATTCGGGCGATGAAGCCGACGAGAGGAGGCGGTTTGACGGGACTGTCAAAGTCGACGACGCATTGCGCGTTGTTCGTGGTGACGGAAATGGCCCTCTGTCTGCTCTGCTGGATGCCTTGCGTACACACCTGCAGATCGACCTTTCCATTCGCGAGTACTCCGAACACACTGTCGACAGTGATGCTGGCCAGAACGCGCGCGCGGCTTCTTACATTGAACTCGTGCCATCGGATGACCGCAAGTCATCTCAGAGCTGGTGGGGTGTTGGCGTCGACTCCGACATTGCAGGATCCGGGCTGCGCGCGGTGTTGAGCGCAGTAAACAGCGCAATCGGTGATCGTGCTCTGCCTGAGCTGAAGCTGACTGTTGGCTTCAATGCCAAGTCCGGTCAGGCGGACGTTGCCAGTGTCATTGTCAACACGCTCGGACTCGAACTTCCTCGTCGCTTCCAGGCCTCCTTCTTTGAGAACGTTCAGCGCGCGGCGCGCGATGCAGGCGGTGACATATCTGTCGGAGCTCTGTCGGAGCTCTTCCAGTCATCGTACAACTATAACACAGGAAAGCCTTCGAAAGACTTCGAGATGACTTCCTGGCAGTTGGATCACGTTGATGCGACGAAGCGTGTGCTCAAGGGAGAGTTCATTTTGTTCGGGCAAACAAAGAAGGTCGTTGGAGAGGGTAACGGGCCCTTGTCATCGACATTGAGCGCAATCAGTGCGTTTATCGAGGGTGCACTGAGCATTCGGGAATACTCTGAACATTCCATCGGCGAAGGTTCAGAGGTAATGGCAGCGTCATATGTCGAGTTGTTGTATGAATTGGATGGAGAGAAAAGGCGTACATCATGGGGCGTGGCTACAGATGTGGATATAACCGCCTCTGGCATCAGAGCTGTGCTGAGTGCGGCTGGGAGGCTGGAGTTGGTGCCCAAAAAGGAGAATTAGTCACTCCAAAATGTATTCTACCTCACTGCCACTATCTAAATGCATTCTTCGAAGTGTTTTGCTTTGCACCACGAATTTAAAGAGTGAACATAGCAAAAAGTCCATCGTGAATATGTCGTTGGGTCTCATCTTTCCGAGGCCAAGGCGCTATAGTGTAGTGGTCATCACACGGGATTTTGAAGGACTTGAATCTTCCCGAAACCCAGGTTCGAACCCTGGTAGTGCCTATACTTTTCCTTTTTGGGAGTCAGACAATGGCGATCACGTGAAGTCAGCACTTACATGCAAGTTGCAAGACCTGGGTTCCTGGGAAATGATAAACTCGTAAAGTGCCGCTGCGACGGCAGGAACCTTGCTTGTGTTCATTTGAAATGAGTTGTATTGTACATATTTTGACAGTTTTACTTAAACAACTGGAGGCGAAATCATGAAGCATGAATGCATGATAGCTCAAGAAAGGTTGAACATTCATTTATAACTGTTAAGTGTACCCCACCCGCCCCCCTTCGGGGGGCGTGTGTATAGTACTCACTGCCAACTGGTAGTAGAAGTGCAAGCCTGTCTACACATAGTATACAACTTCAAGCTCTTTACTCTGTCTTTACTCCAGACGTTGGATATTTAGCAATCAGATGTTGTGATCTATTTGCGATATGACTGACCCGGGTAGGAATATCGGGGTTGGAATGACCTTGACAAGCAAGGAGATTCTATTGCGCCAAAGAAATCTCGATGGGGCCGCTGCGGCCTTCACATGGATCCCGATTTTATAGCCGCTCGACTACGCCGCAGTACAAGGCGCTATAGTGTAGTGGTCATCACACGGGATTTTGAAGCCTCTCAACATTCCCGTGACCCAGGTTCGAACCCTGGTAGTGCCTTTTTACTTTGATTTCACGATTTTGTCCCAAGGGCCAACTTTCCCGGCTCTACTCGGCTGCTCGGCACTCATGAGGCCTGTCCCATAATATATATCAATCAGTACAGTCGTCGGTAAAGCACCGCACTGCGATGGGCTGGTACTTAAGACTGGCGGTGACGTTTGCTACCCAATTATTTAAATAATGGGTCGACTACAAATATTCAAGATGGCGGCAGGGAATCGCCCACAATTATTCTGTATCTCTGTAGATTAGCGTACAATTCTCAGCTCATACACATATACAACCTGTATACAACCCGTGTGTGAACCAGGCTAGCTAGCAGTACCTTATGCGTGAGACCAAAACGTACGTTGCGTTACCCACACTATGTAATGATACAGTTCGCCAGTGACAATCCTCATAATTTGATACTGGGATTTGACTTTTCACACTGCGTATGTCCGGTGTTTGTGTGCTTTTCATTTTTTCAGACACTAGTACAACAACATATGTAATAGACATGAAGCACTGGCATGGGAGCCTGGCACGATAGTCAGCATGGAGAAATGGCAGAGGAGAAGAGGGAATTAGGGAGTTCAGACAAGTATATAATGATTCCGGATACGACTTTTCCTCAGAGGCGTGCCTCAGTAGAGGGAGTCTTGTGTCATCCTGGCACTTGCACGAAGGAAAGGACACTCACGATTTACCGGTTCTTGAAGTAGTCGAGAATGACGTGCAGACCCTCACTGTCAATGCCGTAGTCCTTGACGACAACGCAGGAGCAGCCAACGACCTTGCGGGGGTTGCCCTCACGGTCAATCTTGCATAGACCGGCCCAGGTGCCGAGGACCTTGGCGTCACCGACCTTGATGAGGTTGATCTTGTGCTCAGCGCAGAGGGCCTCGATGAGCTTGATGTATTCAGCCTCAGTGCAAGTCTCAACGAGAACACAGAGGTGAGCCTGGCGCTTATCCAGAGCCTTGGCGCACTCGCGGAGACCGCGAGCGAGGCCGTCGTGAACGAGAGCATTCTTCAGGACTTGCTACACTTTGCTTAGTAGACATAAGCCCTATCGCGTCTAAAAACGCACCTGCAGAGCCTCCTCAACGGAAAGCTTGCCCTTGGGAGCCTCAGTGGTGGTCTCCTCGACGGCAGCGTCAACGGGAATGTCATCTCCAGCGTCGGACATCCTGCACGGATCGTTAGACGCGTAATCGCGAGCGCTTTCTGTGGGCACACTTTTACTATATGAACTGTGTGGGGGTTGGCACAAAATTTGTGGATGTCGTCTTCCGCTCTCGTAGATGTAAAGATTACCGGCCGGCAATATTGCGCAAAAGATCTTGCCCGTGGGAAACTGTGTACCCTAAAATGGAAAACTGTACAGTTTATCACATTGTCATTACCGACGCCGTGAATCGGCAAATGCCGCCGCAAGGAAATTCGATTTATCAGTGTTCAGCCAATACCAGGCCAGTACCGATGGGCAAGCAAGAGTGCATGTCCTCATGGCGTAGTCCTCCATTTCATCGCGCTCTGTTTTATTTTCCATCTACTTTCTCTCTTCTGTACGGGTTCCTGTCGGCGTACTTGGCTTGGCTGCAGCCGATGTTGATGGTGTGGGCCCTGGCGCCACAAGTCCAGCAACCGTGTGCATCTGTCCAGCCTGTATCAATATTCGCAGACAACATTCATTTGGGCTGTGAATAGTGAGGTAACCATCCCCGGGAAGCAAGCTTATGCGTGATATCTATGCAAGGCGAAAGTCAAGTGCAAGCAACAAGCGCCGGGCGCCCCAGCTGAAGTTGAAACACGCAGCTGCCACACACGCATGCAGTGATCCCTTCTCTTTCCATTCCCGTTTCCTTATCTAAGAGCGCCAGAGTACTTATCATCCTCTTTCCACAAGTCCTCCAGGCTCTGAGATTCGGATGGACTAAGCCTAATGTGAAACTACGATCTAATTCAAGGCCTTATCACAGAGATGGCCGGTCCTGGAGCAACCATATAAAGTCACGCGTCGCACAAACGCTGGTGTCTTTCCTTTCCTCTTTCCCCTTGTGATGGAGTCCATCCGTGATGTGAGGCTATCCGACAACGCTGCTGATCCCAAATTCGCCTTTGGTATCAGAGTGGGCATCCTCTTCATTACAGAAGCTGCTTCACTCTCAGCCATTTCAGTCGCTGGCTTATTGCTTTACATACTCGTACGCTGCTCCTTATCCCGTGCCCCGCGATGAATTACTAATGCCCAACTGCTACAGTATTCCACGATTGCCATTCGCAAAGGCGCCGCTCGTTCATGGAAATATTCGACTCATATTCACTACTACTTTGTGAGCCTGTTAGTAGCTGACTTGATTCAGGCTACAGGTATGCACACAAAGCTCCATTGAGGTGAAACTAACGCGAAAGGCGTAGGCGGCGTGCTAGATGCTAAGTGGGTTGCTGAAGGGGTACGCGTCTTTTAAGTTGTAGGGCTACTTCCAAGCTGACCATGGTGCCAAAAGATGGTCACCGAAGGTCCTTTCTGCACTGCACAAGGTGAGTCTGTTCACCATCGCCCTCGTTGCAGGAGGCTCACTGTCTTTCCAGGCGTTTTAAAGCAAATCGGAGATGTAGGAGTAGCTCTTTCGTGAGTGTGTGATTGTATTTCCAACGTACTTATCGCTGGAACCACCGCTCTTAGGACAATGGTAAGCCCGCCGGTAGTAGCCTCACATCCTTTCTCATGCTTCCCTGTACAGGCTATAGCTGTCAACACCTTCATTGTCCTCGTCTTCCAATGGCAATCGCCGACAAAGGTCGCTGCTGTGGTCGTCGGACTCATTTGGCTATTCATCACGCTCATTGTTGCGATTACGTTTGCCAAGCACCGGAATCAGAATTACTTTGGGAACACACAATACTGTGAGTGGATCCGCCATAAATGTTCATTGTCGGATGGTCTAAACGTCGCTGGAAGGGTGCTGGATATCTGCAGAGTTTGGAGCCGAGCGGATAGGCCTCGAATACGCTTGGTTGTGGACAGCCGCTATCGTCAACATCATCTGCTACATCTTCATCGCATTGATCGTGCAAGGTGGGCCGTTGATCAAGTGATATCTTGAATTGTGTGACCAATTGCTGAGCAGGTGTCCTCGTCGTCGACAAGGGCAGGTTACGACGGCGCGGGTCGCGAGACCCGCGCGCATCTACGACAACATCGACGTATAGGAAGAGGCATTCAGCAGTGATGGCAATGCAAATGCTCTTGTGAGTCTCCGGGCCTTGGTTGTTACAATTCGTCACCGACAGTTGCATAGCTATCCCGCTGTCTACATAGTCACCGTCACACCTATAAGCATTACGCGTTGGATCGACTTCAGCTCTGCGGCGGACCTGCCGTTTGCGGCGACATGCTTCTCAGGAATCTGCTTCAACCTTTCCGGATTCCTGAACGTCCTGCTCTTCACCCTCACAAGACCCGGGCTTGTCCCTAATCGTGTCAATCGCCGCTCGGTCGAAAACCCACATATCCCTATATCTATCACGTCTACAACACATTCTGTCCGCGATAGCGTTAGCCCGCACTCGCTGCAGTCTCCGCCACGCGCATACCAAAACGAGCTCGAGGACTGGAAGGACCCTGCACCCTCTAGCCCAGGGATCCTACTTCGAACGAATGAAGCAGACAAAGAGTTGCATAGGGAGCTGTATACTATGCGTGCCGGAACGCAATCCAATCGATTCTACGGTGTGTAATAAATTACTGTCAAACCCTCATTGTTCCTTGTTGTAAACTGTGCTTATAGTAGTATGTACGCTTTCTTGCTCTCTTCATGACAATTCATCTCAGATATCCACGATAAATGTGCGAACGAAATGATCCGCATCAGAGCAGCCAAGCAACAATCTTCTAGTCGTTGATCGGTGATTAAGTCACGTTACCGTAACGCGCGCGGCGCAGTACCCACCGACTTGGCACCGAGAACCTACATAATCGAGCTGCAGGGTCACCCATAAGTGAACTATCCTGAGCGATGTTTGAAGAATCGATCCTTGGCAACCCTCTTTCTTCCTTGTGCACGCACACCGACAGCCACATTCTTTTGGCCCCGAAGCGCTCCGCCCGTCCAGTGCGCCAACTCGATGCTTCTTCCATCTGCAGTCCTTTTCGCTACGTTCCTACTTGCGTCTGCACATCAAAGTCACCACCGCCAACTATCTCGACATGCTAGCCGTGGTTGGGACGCCCTTGCAAGTGGTCATGATACTTTTGTAACCCAAATGCAAGTCGACCATCCCGGACTTTTGCAGGATCTCGCTCTCAATGGACAACGTGAGCGTTGTTCCGTCTCTGCAGTCGACGATGTAAAACC